TGTGTGTGTGTGTGTGTGTGTGTGTGTGTGTGTGTGTGTGTGTGTGTGTGTGTGTGTGTGTGTGTGTGTGTGGGGGGGTGTTACTGTATTAGGTTAGTAAAAAGCAATGATATAAGGTTGAACCTGATCTTTTTGATTTAAACTTGATAATAATCTAATCATGTGAAATATGTTGACATAATACATTTCATTCAAGTTTCAGTTTTTTCAGTGAAGTATTTTTGTAGGCAGCAAGTGTTTTAATTACAATTCTGAACTGAGGTAAAATAGTGTTAAGGGGGAAGATTTTCAATGTAATGATATAATCAATTATAATAATAATTTGCATAATTTGTGTTATTAAATACTGTATATTATAATATTATTAATACAATTATAATTGTTCATGTTCTTTGGTCACAGATTGCCGCATGCACTTCCTCTCAGTAGCAGTGTGTTCACAGTGCTTTATAGTTTTCTTCCACCAGTTAAAATGCTAATATTTCCCAAGGTGAATAAACTGCTGTGATTTAATCTGGTTAATATATTGACTGTTTTAAAATAAAGCCATAAAGCCTCTGGGCGGAAGCAGGAAGTAGATCAGAAGGCTGCCATAATGGGTTTAGCTCTCTGATTGGCTAATCATGTCTCATTGTTTCAGTCATTATTTTGCTCAACTTTTAATTTCTTCCTCCTAAGGATCATTGAGCAAGGCAATTACATGGAGCTGACCTTGTGTATTAGGGCCGGGGAGGAGGACAGGAAATATGTCCCATCTCCCCTTTCTTTTTTTTTATTTCTTCAACAACAATATAAAAAGTGTGGCGTCAGAGCCCCCCCTCTCCTCTGTGGCTGAACATGAGAGTCGACGGAATATTAAGTCCCTAGCATTAGAATAAACACGTCGTGTGTTAAATCAAAATCCAATTCTGTGGTCTATTATTTTCTGGCATAGTAATGACTGTCAAGGATTAGGAATCAATATTTCACTGCAGCGGGGACATTACCGGCTTTATTCAGGCCGTAATTGAGTTTTGAGGAGGCCCTACCCTGGAATCTGCATTCAAGATAAGGCTCGCTCTTTCCTTGTGTGCGCGAGTAAAGCAGCGCAAGGCGACACATCAGCTGCACGTCAATTACACGCGGGCCAGTTAACCTTGGCCCCAGCGCGAGGCCTATACTGTACCTGCTGCGCGAGTGAGCAGCAGCCTATCATAGGGGTGCAGAAAGGAGTCCTAAAACCTGGTAATAAGTAAGCATTTTACCATATCCGGTTCATTTGTCTTGAAGGAAATGGCTCTTTGAATGCCTGAAATAAGGTCAGTGGTTAGCACAAGCGGACGAGATGTTCACGTTTTTGGACATAAAATCCGTCAGTAGCCTAAATACTCACGTTTCAAACACTTTTATCTGTCATAAAAACAGAGATTGTTAATAGTGACTACATGAGATTAGTAGCCTACACGTGATTTGACGAACATTAACCAATTTAAGCTTATTAGTGGTGGTGGTGATGTGAAGTCATGTGACCGTGCTGTAGTTCCTTTATAGTCCAACGTTTTTAACATATTGCAATTACGCTTCGCAAAATGTTTAAATGATAAAAGTGGTGTTTATATGTGGAGTTTATCCTCCTGAAGTATTATAAACATGTCTTGGCCACAGATCTTATTTCCTGCAATACTCAGAAATCCGATGGAGAACTTCCACCCATTGCTCTGTTTGAAATTAGCAATGCAAATGTTTGATGGGCCTAAACAGAACTGGTCACTGCACCTCACCTTCACTCCTGTAAACTATTTCACTTCATTTTGTCAGGGAGAAAAGAAGAGCCAGCGCTCTCCCCCTGTTTCTCCTCGTGCTCGGATAGTGACGGCCCGGATCGCTCCGCGCGCAGCCCCGAGATAATAGACTATTAGTGGAAGTGGGATTCATTTGTAGCCAATTACAAGCCGTAGAGTTGAATAGGAATGCATAAATAAGGAGACACACACACACACACACACACACACACACACACACACACACACACACATACGCACACACGCAAACGCACACGCACACATATATGATAGGCCTATATGATAGTGGGTCCTCGAGGGGCCAGCTAAAAGCCAAAAAAGGCGTTGAGAGAATGGGAGGAGAGCGGGGGCTTCGCTTAACTAATAGAGAGAGGGAGGGGGGGCGAGAGCTAGTTTGAACTATTAGAGAGATAGATCAGTGCCGTCCCGCCTTCAACTCCTGTCAGGCTTCCAGAGCGCGCACCCACCGGTGAGCAGACAGAGCGCGCGGGGCTGGAGGTCGGCACGCTGCTTTTATTGTGCGTGTGTTTGTGTGTGTGTGCGCCGACACGGGATAACGGTACCGTACAGGACACACAGTTTGCCGATCAGCGGAGAGGCTGCGGGGATGCAGAGAGGACAGAAAGTTTGACGGGATCCGGTTCTGTGGAAAACTTCTCCTCACTCTGGATGCTGATGGGTCCCCTCCGCGTCAGAACCACACGGTCCCTTTAAAACGGCTTGGTCCAGAATCTTTCCATTTTTAACCGCTCCTAATTTTTAAACCGGATTCTTGATATATGGGACAGGGACAGTAAAGTGATGAACCGGGACAGATTGGTGCCGGGGCCCGGAGCAGACGGGGTCCAGACTGTGATTAGCCGGGACAGAAGTGCACCGGGGCCCCTGGCGGACGCGGTTCAGCCCGTGATGAGTCGGGACAGAGCGGTACCGGGGCCCGGCGGGGACGGGGTCCAGACCGTGGTGGGCGGGGACAGCATAGACATTCTGGAGGGAGCAGCCGCCGGGGAGAAGCGGCTCTTCTCCAGCGCGGGGGCGGGAGGCAGAGACGCTCAGGCCGGAGAGAACCACTCGGAACCTCCGCCTACCAACCCGGTGTTAGCCCCGCCACAGCAGGTAGATGCACGCAACACCTCACGGGTATTTGGGGGAGAGGGTAGACTCACAGAGAGTGAACAATCCAGACCCAGAAGTAAACAACATCCTGCAACATTCTCTCTCACTCTTTTATTTCCGTTTCTTCTTGCACTATTTGTTTTATGTCTTATAGGCCTACATATTATGTTGCATTGCTGGAGGAGCATGCATTTAAGATTTTCATTTCTATAACTACACTGTAGATGTGCAAATGACCATTAAGCCTTTGAACTTTGAACATATAAGCCTATAAATTGCATTGAAATAAACAGGAAATATGGTAAATTGTTTGCCATGAAAAGCAACAGAAAGTTGAAGTGCAAAAATAACTGAAAATGCCCCGTGGTAAACGACAGAGGGTGTGTAGGCTATGTGTATTTCTTTGTATGACAGCTGTGTTCCTGTGGGCCTGCCGCCATGCAGGCAGATGAGGCCTTAATTAAGACATAGCAGTAAAATGATCCGCCAATTTGCTCTGGTAATGAGATGGGGAAACAATCACAATACCTACAATCAAATGCATTTCTATAAAAGCTCACATAATGTAGTTGTTCCTGCAAACTGTATTGTGATTGAATCCTTAAAAAAAACCTTACAAGTCCACTCTTTCAGAATGATCTGACAGTATTTCCATTTACTTTGAAATGAAATAGCCTATACGAAGAAGATCCAAGATGGTTATAATTGAAAAAGTACTCCTGTTAATTCTAGAAAAATAACCCTACATCCTTGGATTAAATGTCATGATCGTAGATTAGTTTGTGTTTCCTATCTGAACTGGACTATCCCTCTTAATCACACCGAGCTATTGTGTGATTCTTCTTATCATCACATGTTAATAGGCCCATGGGTCCAACCCGCATGCTCCCTGGGATTATTTCAAGGGAGAAATTATAATATTATTAATGTGGGATTATTCATGTCGACATGCTCCAGACTGGCCTCATTAATTAATGAATGATCCTAATCTGTTATCTACTCCATGCACTCGGCCGCCTTTTGGGCTTCACATAAATCTTCTGGATATAAACTCAGGGTTCATATATATATATATATCATATAAACATGGGGGACACACACAGGGTTAAACTCATGCAAGGATTTGTGATTTTTTTGGAAATCATAAACCTGTGTCTTCATTCAACTTCAAAGTGTCTCTTAATGTCTTCTCATCCTGACTAACACGAAGAAGAGTTTACTTCCTTTTATCCCTTCAACATGAGAACCATATAAATAAAATGGGATTGATTCGTTCGCCCTCTGATACCTATTGACCGCTACATATTGGAAATAGGAAATGTGTTTGATTTGTGGTCATGTTGTGTGTGTTCGCTTTATGAACACACTTTAGCGCCGTTTGATTGGCTGTTCGATACCCGATTTACACATAGGAGACACATGTAGTAAAGTGTATTTCACGGGCCATATGACATTTATTACAATGATTATTATTAGCCTACTATTATTTGTATTATTATTATTATTATCATTATTATAAGTAGTAGTAGGCTAGCAGTAGTAGTAGCCTAGTAGTAGTAGTAGCCTAGTTGTAGTAGTAGTAGTAGTAGTAGTAGTAGTAGTAGTAGTAGTAGTAGTAGTAATAGTAGGCCTAGATGTAGTAGCCTAATACTAGTATGCTATTATTATAATTATAATAATAATAATAATTATTATTATTATTATTATTATTATTTATTTTTGTATTATTATTAATAATAATAATAATAATAATATTAACATTATTATGACGAGTAGGCTATTATAAACAATTCAAAATACAAAATAATCGATAATCCAATATCTGCAGCTCTTACTCTCTAGCTGTCAATGAATAATTCCAATGCGTTATTCTCCAGGGCCCCACCGGGCACCGGACCACCTCTTTCTCCGTGCTGGACATCCTGGACCCGAACAAGTTCACGAGCTGCCGAAGACAGCAGCACGCCAGCCAACGGGGTGAGCGCGAGCTGAGCGCGTACGGAGCGGAGAACCGGAGAGGAGGAGCGGGGGAGCGCGAGCCCAGTGTGGAGTCGGCTAAAGGCTGCTACGTTGCGGAGGAATACCAGAGCAGTGAGTCCATTTTACGGATCTACCTTTAAAGGCTGCTCCATCATGTTCCGTTAATGTTTTCCCGCCAGTCGCCGCCGCTCTTTCTCCGTCCAAATGTCTTCAAGCTTACATTTTCTGAAGTAATTCAGCCTTTTAAAACATGGATTTCGTTTACCCAAATCTTTATCTGTGTGTGTTTATTTTTTATTGTTTTGATTTGAGTATTTAACTGTAAAAATATATTTAGTAATTGTAGGTAAACCTGTCTTCATTACGCCAAAGCTCACATTAAGTAGATTTCGTTTTTAATCGGGGTAGTAGTTGTTTGTGTGAGATAACTTTTGTTAAACTATTCTTTTCAATGTACTACATATAGACTTTCCTGATTTGTTGATAGTAGGCTATAACTGTTAATCCTGATGGAATGTATTTGTTTTTTTAAAACAAAACCTTCTGATCGAAAGTTAAAGTTCGTTCTCGATCGAAGAAAAAGAAACGCATCGCCTTAAATTGAAGCTCCGGTAAAAAAAAAAAAAAAAAGCACGAGGTGTATACGGCTCGTGCGTGTGGGATGAGTAATACTGTTAGAATATCTGTCTCTGTATTTTTTGTGTGTCACACATTTCATTCGTGTGTTAAATGAGTCCGGTTCATGGATAATGTTTACCCGTTGCGTGTTTTCTCTCCTCTACTATTTCGTTTTTTGCTATTCCTGACCTGTGATAAATACACAGCAGTCAAAACACATTCGAAGACAATAAAATATACACTTTCCTATACAATCCATTTTAAAATGTTTGCACTCAATGATAAAAAAATTGAAGGATTTGAATAAAAGGGTGTTGATAATTACACTTAAAATGGGACAAAGAAGTCTTATCAACTCATGTTGAGACTTTAAATGTTGGTTTCAGGCTGCAGTGAAGAGTAGTTACATATTATGGAATATTTAAATATCAAGGTCCTCATTGTTAACACATTTATATTCAAATTCATTCAAATGATTTCTGTACGTTTTTTGTCATCAAGCATTATGTAATATTAACAGCATGTCTATGCCCAACTGTAAACTCTGTGAGTCAGACAGAATATTGTGAAGTATGATTGGATTCAAATATATGAGATCTTAGTTTTTAACACACCAAACCCTTGACTAAAATGTCCATTTCATTATCAGCTCGAACATTAATGATTACAAAAATAAAACAAATATCTGGCCAGTCAAAAATAACTAACGGGCTATTAGTGAAAAACAAACTCATTTTTGGTAGCACACCATAGCATAATGCAAACTGTAATGTTAAGGGCTTATGAGTGTCCTGTAGCTTTAATATTTACTATTGTGAGGTATATTATTATATATATATATATATATATATATATATATTAGGGAGTACAGGCCTCAGTGATTTTTATTGTGTCACATTTTTTGCACTGCCAAGTTAATTTAAACGACGACGTTGTCTTGTCAAATATACTGTTGCCATCTCATTTACACTATTTAACACTAGGAAAAGACTGAGCCAAGGGGCCTCGGGCCCCTCAGGCCCCCGCATCTCTGTGTGACTTTCATTTACCAATCACCACTAAAGCTCAATCTTAAAATTAAAGGCTCTGACTATAAATCTGACCTGGTCTTTGTTGTGTTTCCAGAGGAAGGCTTTGTGTTCAGGGGCCAGGACGAGGAAGAGGACTACCACAGAGCAGGGAGCCCCGACTCTGAGGCCGCAGACGCGCCCTACAGCAGCGAGGAGAGCAGCTCCGCTCTGCCCTCCAACGGAGACAGAGAGGGGGGCCAGCAGGGTCACCAGGACCCCGACAGAGACACCAAGAGCCCCGCGGGCCAGAACACCGATGGCCAGAGCAACGGGAGCCAGGGCTCGCAGGGGAAACCCAAGAGGAAGCGCTCCGGCTCGGACTCCAAGTCGGGGAAGCCCCGCAGAGCCCGGACTGCCTTCACCTACGAGCAGCTGGTGTCGCTGGAGAACAAGTTCAAGTCCACGCGGTACCTGTCGGTGTGCGAGCGCCTCAACCTGGCCCTGTCGCTGTCCCTCACCGAGACCCAGGTCAAGATCTGGTTCCAGAACCGCCGCACCAAGTGGAAGAAGCAGAACCCCGGGGCGGACACCTCTGCCCCCACCGGTGCAGGGGGCGGAGGATCAGGGGGAGGAGGCATGGGGAGCCTCAGCCCTCTCAGTCAGTCCCCCCCGTTAGGCGGGCACCTGGCCATGCACAGCTACGGGGGCCACCACCACCACCACTCCGCCGGCAGCCTGGTCCAGCTGCCCTTCCTCACCGCCAGCCACGTCCTGTCCCCCTTCATGCTGGGGACACAGAGCTACGCTGCCCCCGCCTTCTACAGCACACACCTGTAGACCTTCGCACACACACACCCACCCCCACCCACCCACCCACACACCCACACACACACACACACACA